TTATGCACTAACTAAACTACTGAAGGTATCTGGAAATTTTCAAAAGCTCAAATGTTTCTGTGCTCTAATTCTCACTGCTTTCTCATTGTGTGTTGCCCAGATATCATTTGCTCTTACCACAGTGGTGGACTTTGACACTACAAAACAGAGTCCCCATTAATACCCTTGGCATAGACTATGGAAACCATGAAGCACTGAAAGTGCTCAGGGCACATACCCAATGTCACCAGTCACATAGACATGTGAGGTCTGGGTGGGAACTTAGAGAGGATCTATCTTCCTTTCCATCTTGCACATGAAAAAGCCAAGATATAGAGAGATAAACTTGATTGTAGGCCATACATTTGCAGACCTGCCTCTCACAGAGGAAAAATCAAGGGACAAATGTTCTGTTTTATCTTAATAAAACGACACGCCATTAAGGAGTTGCCTGATATGTACATTCATGGAATTCATCAGCATCATTCATGAATTTGGTCCTTCATGCTTTGCATATACTACTTTCTCTTTTTGAAACATATTTTGTCAATCTGCCACATGTCAAATTTTTATTTGTTATTTGGAACACAACCAAAAAGCAACTCTGAAGTCCAGCAGTCTCTTTTAATACAAACTAATATAAACTCTTCAACAAGTGTCTCCCTGATCATTTGGGAGTAATTTGCATAACACTCAGCCATTTAACAAATCTTTTAAAGAACTTTGCTTTCTCCCTTCTTTGCCATTATTTACATGCATTATTCACTAAACAGGGCAGCTCCAGAATCATTTTATCTTCCATCCTCTAGGGGCATCAGGCATATTGCTTGTATACAATAGGTGTCAATAATTGTATGCTAAAAAAATAAAGGCCAAATGACTCTCTCAATTTCACAGACCCATTAGTGGAAATTGAAAAGCACTGGGCGCAGTCTGCGTTTGCCCTCTTACCCAATTCTTCTGCTGTTTCTCCATAATAGCTAGTGATGAATGTGGGAAAGAACAATAACAGTTACCTACAGGCATTCGTCCTGGTGGGCTTTTCTGATCGGCCTCAACTGGAGATAATTCTCTTTGTTTTTATCTTACTCTTCTACATCCTGGCCCTGGTGGACAACAGTGCCATCATCCTCTTATCGATCATGGATGCCAGGCTTCACACACCCATGTACTTCTTTCTAGGGAAGCTGTCTTTCTTGGACCTCTGCTTTACAACAAGCATTGTCCCCCAGCTGCTCTGGAACCTTTGGGGCCCAGAGAAGACCATCACCTACCATGGCTGTGTGGCCCAACTCTACATCTACATGGTGTTGGGCTCAACTGAGTGTGTCCTTCTGGCTGTCATGTCCTATGATCGCTATGTGGCCATCTGCCGGCCCTTGCACTACACCGTGGTCATGCACCCACGTCTCTGTCTGCAGCTGGTGACTGTGGCCTGGTGCTGTGGCTTTCTAAACTCCTTTGTCATGTGTCCACAAACGATGCAACTCTCCCGGTGTGGGCGTCGCAGGGTGGACCACTTTCTGTGTGAGATGCCTGCTCTCATTGCTATGTCCTGTGAAGACACCATGCTAGTGGAAGCATTTGCCTTTGTCCTGGGGGTTGCCCTTCTCCTGGTGCCCCTCTCCCTGATCCTCATCTCCTATGGCATGATCTCTGCTGCTGTGCTGAGGATCAAGTCAGCAGCAGGGCGCAAGAAGGCCTTCAACACCTGCTCATCTCACCTGACGGTGGTCTCCCTCTTCTACGGGACCATCATCTACATGTACCTGCAGCCGGCCAACAGCTACTCCCGAGATCAGGGCAAGTTCCTTACCCTCTTCTACACTGTTGTCACTCCCAGTGTCAACCCCCTCCTCTATACTCTGAGGAACAAGAATGTGAAGGGGGCGATGAAGAAGCTCCTGGGGTGGGAGAAAGAGGCTAGGGAAGCCTGAGTGAGGGAGCACTGGGGTAATATAGATGATTTTCTTTTAGATATACCTGTAACCATGTGGAGAACTAATATGCAAAGCGTGGAATGAATGCAGGTGAACACGTGCTTTTTAAAAAAATGTTTGTGTGACAAATCATAATTGTATACATGTACAGCATCCAATGTGATGTTTTGATATATGTGTACAAAGTGGTGTAATTAAATCAATTTAACTAACATATTCATCACTTTCTTACCTGTCCTTTTTTTTATGGTGAGACACTTGAACTTTACTCTCTCAGTTATTTTGTAATATATAATACATTATTATTGACGACAATTGCCCTATAGTGTGATAGAGCTCAAGACCTATTCCTCCTGCTTTTGACTTTGACCCCATCCTCTGCCTTCTGGATGCAAAGTGGCTTTCTCTTCAAAGGCATCTTTTTTACACTATTTCTGCTCTATCTTGTATTTTCCTCATCTTTGTGATTTACCCACAACTGCAGGAGACGCGTAGAGCTAATTCAATCGCACGAAGGCACTGAGCAGTCTGCAGACTATGTTGAAAATGTCAAATAAAAAGTGAGGCAACTTAAGTGGCCTTTCTTCAAAGCTCCTTTATTTCTTTCTTTTTTTTTTTATTATCCTTTTTGTCTTTTTTCGTGACCGGCAACGGATCACAACCCTCAGT